ACACACACACACACACACACACACACACACACACACACACACACACAGTTACAGAGTACATTCACTGTAAACACAGCAAAGTGAGAAACAGCAATGAGTGAAGTTCCACTCCGGTACCTTGCCTCTCTTCAGGTTATTGTAGAGCTCTTTGTTCTGAAGAAACTTCTCCATCTCCGCTTTGACCAGCACTCTACGTACGTTGATGACCTCATCCACCGTCAAGGCGAGACTCTCCACAGGGTGGCTGAACTCCTCCTGAAGAGGAGAGGAGACCCGTCAGTCGTAGTTGACTCAATAGTGAGTGGTAGGTTGGTGGATGTCAAATTCATTCATTTTTGGGGTGAAGAATACCTTTGAGGTGCTCAGAGAAATAGAGGATTTTGCATTTACAATTCCATGACTACTTGGCTAACTCTCACCTGCTCATGAAGATCATGTAATATGACCTAAAGCTCCAGAGCAGCTTCTAAATGGACCTTGTGCAGAGTTAATCAACTTGTTTATATTGAATATACGTGTTTCAAGGATTTTCTAAAATAAAGTGTAATAATTCTGGAATCTAATGCATCAATTGGTCATATTCTGTCTTCTGAAAAAGATACTGATGCTCATTTCCAGAAAATATTGGAAACTGGATGAAATAATAATGTCAGATTTTTTCAATGAGTTTGCAGTGCATTGTTATTACCAGTGGGACCACTGAGACTTCCCATGAAGCAGAGGGCCCACTGTGATTCTAACTCACCATCCACTGGTGGTTATCTCCAGCTCTGGAGCCACACGGAGCTTCTGATCCCTCTGTGGTCTCGTCGACTGAACTCAGAGACAGGCGGGCCGGAGAGGGCGGCACCCAGCCATGAACCGGGTAGGAGGCTGGGGTGGGGAAACGGATGAAAGGTGAATGAGCCAGAGAGGAAATGATGAGAGCTTCCAGGTTGAAAAATAATGTTACCCTGTTAACCGTTTGTCCCATGTTTCTGCATCCGTTACTAATGGGGACAACAATTGATGACATTGGTCCCGTATTGAAGGAGAAGGCTGCAGACCACAGCCGCTAAACGGGCTGCAATGTAATCACTCGAGGCAACGCCACACTGTCAATGTACGCCCACGAAATGTGCTGGTTTTTGGCACTGACAAGCTCAGGTTATTATTGTCTGACAACATTATGGTAACGAACCGTTCTACCTTTCGCTTGATTCAGTCTGTTAATGTGTCTTGTACCTTGTTGCAGGAAGACAACATTGAAAACTTGAGTTAGAGTTGGGGAAATGAGTGCAGGTGTTTGTTGTGTAAAATAATTTGAAGGTTTAGCTGATTTAGACAATGTGGATGCAACAAGAGATTTCAGAATGAGACAGACAAACAGACCGGCTCATGTGAAAGTTTAAGAAAGATATTGTATTTGCCCGTTCAGTGGCTGCCGTCTTCTCCTTAAATACTGGACCAACAATTGTTGTGCCCATTAGTCCAGGTTGAAAAACAAAGCCACCCTTCAACAGGGGAACTAAATATGACCAAATCTAATGGGGACACCATCAGACAGTGAGTGAGAGAAAGCCACAAATGGCAGTCTAACAAGTCCATGAATTACACATCAGCCCCTTTCATTCAGCTCCGTCTCAGGTCTCTGCCCTTCAGAGTGCTTGTCGATCGACTCTACTGCTGTCATGTATTATTAATCCCATTTCAGTGGAGTGATTCGGCCCATGCTGCTACATCTGTAACTTAGATCCCAGTGAGAGGTCTGCTCAGCGGTTGCCCTTAAAAGAGAAACTCAGAGGAGGCTCAGTTAGCCGACGTTGGGAGGGGGTTAAAAAAACAGACACAGCTGAAACTGGGTGCCTCTTGGATCCTGCAAATGGAAGGTGTCAATTTGGCTCTAATGGAAAGTAAACAGACTGAAACAGGCCGGTAAACATCATCAGTTCGTCTAATTTGGATCAGCTGCCGATGACAGCCGGGGCTTACATCCTCACAGTCACAGTTAAGCTGGAGAGGCCCCAGTTGGCAAAGTCATGTACTGCACAATACATCTTATCAGTCTACATGATTGGAGAAGGATTGTGAATGGGTTACTGAACGTGTCTACCGCACACAGACACTAGGGCCCTTTGCTTATGAAAAGTCATCCAAAGAGACACGAAAAACCTACAAAGAGACACACGACAACTTCAAAGAGACTCAAACTGACTACAAAGAGACACAGGACAACTTCAAAAGACTCAAAACCACTACAAAGAAACACAAAACAACAACAAAAAGAGGATAAACAACTATAAAGACTGTGTGTCTTGCTCATATGTCGGAGATGTGGTGGGGCCTTTTTAATGTCTGTGCACAGGGGCCCATTGTCCCATAATCCGCCCATGTGTGGCATGCAGCTGGGAGGATCGGCTTGCAGACTGAGAATGGATGCAAGTCAAGCCTCTGGATATGGACGGCCGGGCTGCTAATGCACGAATCATGGCCATCGAACAGATAACATCCTCCCGGTGGCTTACGTGCAGCACACATTTCAAACCCATTAGCTTCTACCCTCCTTCACCAAGTTAGACTTTATCAGCACATCTTCAGATTTGATTAGACTCCGTAACAGCTTCATGGCAGATGTAATCCCTATCAACTCCCTGTCAGCAAGGAGTGTAGGACCACTGCTGCGGACTGACATGAAATTCAGCTCGTATTTCAGTGAGGTAACAGTAATTTAATAAGGTTAGTGCTCGAGGTATAGCTGAGGATAGATTGGAAGCAGTGGGGACACCATGTTTCCACAACAAAAGAATCTTTTGATTCAAGGTTGAAAACCCTGTACTTTTAATTGAACAGATATTCTACAGTTAGAAGCGGAATGGAAACAATCAAAGGAGTTGTTGGGTTTTGCCATGACCTTCTAATTAATGCACTGCTTCTTTCCTTCCAGGCCTCGAGGAAGAGTAGCTGGACATTTTAAAAAGGGTGTTTAGGCCGATAGTCACTGTATCGATGATCTAAGTGCATTCAGTTTAACTGTTTGGGGGGGCTTGGGTTAGATGTTAGTTTATGGCCAAATCATATGTAAATTCAGAATGACAATCAAGATCTCCACAGACATTGCTTTAGTATAACTGGCACTGTGTCTCCTTCTGTGGGAGGGGGATTAACGAGAGACACTACAGGCAAAAACGTGGCTTCTGTCAATTTTCAGATTTTGGTCTTCCATAACTTGTCTTCTTCCAGACTAGTGGAAAGAAAACATCCAAAATAGTGTAGTTTGTTTTTTAAGACAGCCAGAGAAATCTCCATTTCATTAGCACTTACATACACCAATCGTTCCATTTGCATTTCTATCTTTATTCTGTAGGTTTTTACACAGGGGTTTGTTCATACATCATTCATAGTCTGATTTATACAACATGTAATACTAAAAACATGGAGAAAATGGATTTTTAAAGGCTTTTGACAGCATTTTCAAATGTATGGAATGATACAATGAGATATGCCAAAACCTGTTGACTCTCATATATCAACAAAATGTAACATTTATATTATGGAAATGAAAATTAGCCCATATTTACTAAAATAATGCCTTATTTGCACAAAAATTACACAAAATAGTATAAATGTAAGTGGACATGACATAGAAACAGTTCATTTATTCCCCTATTTGCCTGTCCCCATAAGCTAAAGAGTGTAAAGTTTGGTAAGAGTTTAGTATTTATTTGAACTGTGGCGTTGTTATGTCGTCATGCTCTGTTAGCTACTTTTACCAGCTGTGCTGAAGAAGAAGCATTCATTTGCCGGCATGGAGAAACATCTGGTCCCCCTCAGAACAGATGTCACTTGGCGCGACGCCCTTTTGAAAATGCGCCGACCATTTGAAATGTTGCGAATGCGTTACACAATGTAACCAAGCGCTTCTAGAAGAGCTGATGAACACTGTGAAGTAAGCTAAATAAGCTCAAATCTAATAAACTCGCATAAAAACATTAGTTCATGCATTTTTTTATGTTCAAACTCATTTTCACTCCGGGCCACATCAGCATCATGGTTTCCCTCAAAGGGCCGGTTGTAACTGTAAGACTGTATAACTGTAACTACTCCTAACATATTGTTAAATAACTGTCTCTGCTTTTGATTATTGTTTATTCAAGTGTAAAATTATTGTACATGCAGTTATATACATGTAAAATGATATTTAAGCACATTTCTGGTATTATAACATAAATCATTTTAATTCTTGTGGCTTAAGAAACCCACATACTGGGCGACCGTGGCTCACTGGGTTAAGAGGGTCAACGGTTCGATCCTCGACTGGGACGTGTCACGTGTTGAAGTGTACCTGAGCAATACACTGAACCCCAGGCTCCCCGGGTGCAATACACTCAGCCCACTGCTCCCTATATACAGGGATGGGTCAAATGCAGAGACAAACTTCTGTATCTGTAAATGTGATCGGAGCTCACCTGCTCACATACCTTTAGCATGCACTGGGCTGTAGCTTTTGTAAATATATTCTGCTGTGATTGCAGTCTGCCTTTTAATTCTTGGACAATTTTATGTTTTTCTTGGAGGCTAAATTTTGCACCATGTTTGGTGTCAAAATGCCGACGTGAATTGTATTCTTCATCACCGACACAGCCTCATAACACAGAAGACAGACCCGTTTTTCTCCTTGAAGCACAGACATGTATTCGCTTTCCCATCTTAAATTACATTTTCTTCCCTCTGCATAAATTTTTCTCTTCGTGGACATTTTGGGATTATTTGTCGATCTTTTTCAACTCAATCACTTGTTGGAAAATCTCTTTACAGGCTGTTCCCTCTCCTGTCCACCTGTTGTGATAGTTTTAATGTCAGTACACAGCTGACAACATGACAACATGCTATCTCAGAATTTCAACTTTCTATCTCATAATTTCGACCATGGGGATATTTTTATTTTCAAGTCTAACTTTGAATTTTTTTTCCAAAATTCAAAAACAAAAACTTTTTTTTTTTTTTTTTTTGCTGGCGGATTCGCGGGCCACATAAAATGACGTGGCGGGCCGGATTCGGCCCGCGGGCCTTGAGTTTGACACCTGTGATGTAGATGATAAAGTGTTTGGCCACTCAAACAAGGCAAGAAACCATTGACGCAATACAGTATGAGTCATTGTAACAGTCAGATACATTTTAAAGAATATAATTATAATGTCATGAATGTATTTGCACTAGTTTTTTAAAATTAATTTCATAACATTTTGGTTGATTTCTTTGATAAAAATAAATAATACAAACAACAATAAATGTTTCAACACAATCAATAATCAAAATAACTTAGTTGCAACCGTAATTTACAGCCTTAAAATAAGAAAATAGCTTAATTAATTCAACCTGCACTGTGTTGCGTCTCACTCTGGAACAACCTCTCCAGACTTGTATTGGCCCCGGGTTTGTTCATACATCATTCATAGCCTGAACATTTTATGACTAAAAACATGTAGAAAATCAGTTTTTTTATAGCTGTTGACAGTATTTTCTGATTTATGGAGTAAATCAAAGCAAAAACCTTTGACTCGACTATGTCAATAAAATGAAACAAGAATTTTGAACCTCCAATGTTCAGATTTCTGCTCCTAAAATGTATGAAAATTAGTACATATATAATTAGATAATGCCTTGTTTGTCTATTTAAACACAACTTTTCAGACAACTTGTGCTACCAGAAATGATTGTCTTAGTGTGAGTAATCAACTGGGAAAGCAAGCAAACACTACTGCAGCTGATCTCATTCATTATCTCTCTTTCGGTTAAGTCACAGAAACTAACCAATGGAATGAGCTGCGGCAGTGTTAGGTTGGGACGAACTAACTTCAGACTCCTGGATATCAACGAGCCCGGCTGAAAATCAACTGTAAAGAAACAGATGTGCCGATGTGTGTCACCATGTTTCATGTAGAGCAAATGGAAAAATACAACAACTAGTTGCAATTCACCATTCGGCCCAGCCCTGGCTGCAGATAAGACTCTTTATTAGCCATAGTGGGAGAGCACAGGTCGGTTGTATTCAAATGTCCCAGTAAAGCATGACAGTGAGACAGAGCTTCATTTCAATGACATTTGGTGGAAAGTTAGGCCATGAGCCAACCGTAACAACTGATGTGTTTTTAGTAGCAACAGTGCCACCATGTGTTCATTCACAACTCACAATTTTTCATTCACAACTCTAGGGAAGTAAGATGACTCGACTTGGAATATTTGGGCTATTCCTTTAATCACACCCCCCATTAGGAAGCTGAAAAACCTAAAGCAGAATTTGATTTCAATGACATTATCCAGAACATCAACTGCATCTGTCTCATTGGTTTCTCTTTCCCAAAGAGTCTGATGTTTCACACACCAGGCTCTCCTGCTAAAAGGAGATGAGGCTCGCAGAATCAGTGATCTCTTTAAACCACTTCTTAAAATCCATTCCTACTCGTCATTCCCATTCCCATTCCCTGGTTTTCATGTGACGTCGTCGCTTTACTGCTTTATTTTATCATTGACATTATATTTTGTTAAATTATTTTTATTATCTTTATTTATTCGTTTCTTTTTATCGTATCGATTGTTTATACGTTTCATCTGTTGTACCATTTTATCTTACCTGAGTTTGTCTTGCTTTGTTGGGCCTCACTGTTGAGCTTTCTATTGTTTTACTGCCTTGCTTTTGCTGTATTGTCTGTCAAAGCACGTAAACTCTGTTTTTAAAGGTGCTATATAAATAAAGTTATATTATATTATTAATACTTACTGCTGAACTCGAGCGCATGACAAGCTTCTTCTTCTCTTGGATCTGACACGTCTACTCAATTAACTAATCCATCTTGTACTTTTGCTTTCTGTGGACAAATTTGGGTGAAATCCTCATAATCAGCATATCAATTCTTGAGTTATGACCAATAAAACTTGTTTTGAGAGGTCACCGTGACCTTTGACCTCCAAATTCTAATTTGTTCATCCTTGGGTCCAAGTGGTTGAGCCAAATTAGTTATTTAATTCAGCTGGCATGCACAAAGCTCGTCCTCTCAATCCTACGATCATCCTACGATCTCCGTCCTACGATCAAGTTGCCTAAGTGTTGTTATGGCTACATGAGTTTTAAACGGCCATACCTCGGTGGTGATTAGGGTGACTCACTCATTGGTCATTAATGAGGCCCCCTTGAAAATGAGCGGATACATCTCAAAAGGATGAACTCTTACCAAAGGTAATCAGTCTACATTCACACACTGACCTCTGTGATAAGGAGGCGCTCCGAGACCGGTCAGTGTCCTGGACCGAGGCCTCTCCCCCCTCAGCCTGACCACCTCGCCCAGCTGGGCCGACTCGGAGAGCGAGGGGAGCATTTCAGCGTGCAGCAAGGCCAGGTCGTGCTCTGAGAAGGAGCGGTCTCTTTTCAGAGGGGTGGGGGAGCTCTCCGTCCTCCTCAGCTCCCCGCCATCTGGGGACTCCTCCTCCTGCGACGGAGGTTAGAGAGGGAGGGGAAGGGTTGAGGGAGGAGAGGAAGAGGGAGAAGGAAATGAGGAGTCAGAGACATTGGGAGGGATGTGATGGAGGAACATAAAGAAAAAGGTTAAGTGAAGGACAGAAGGCGACACATTAATGCCAGATGTAAACAGGGCCAAGAGGACTCTGGATTTCAGTCTGGCAGATTGATTGTCCCTCTGGTTCAGTCTGGGGTGCAGCTAAGCCTGAAACATACCACGATCAGGACCAGGTTCGTCTGGAGGGGTGCGTTTCCCTGGTAACTTAAAGGTTTCCTGAGGAGTTTAAGATCTCCAGCAGCACAGTCTTTCTACAAGTTTCGTTTCTCTCGTGCGCATGCACGTGTGCAATAGGTTAAGACACAATGGGCCCCTGGGCACAGATATGCAAAAGGCCACAACAACTCTCCTACATAGGAGCAAGACACACAAACTTGACAGTTGTTTAGACTCTTTTTGTTATTGTTTTGTCTCTTTGCGGTCTTTCTTTCTGTATTTTTTGTCTGCAGGTGTTTTGCCTCCTTTTGTAGTCATTTTGTCACTCTTTGAATTCGTTTTGTGTCTCTTTGTGGCTGCTTTGTATCGATTTGGACTTCTATTGTGTTTCTTTGTAGTTATTTTGTGTCTCTTCGCAGCTGTTTTGCATCTTTTTGTGGTTGTTTTGGTCTTTTTGAGTCTCTTCCTGGTTGCTACGCAGAGTGACATTTTGTAAGTGAAGGCCAAGGACCCGTTCAGTAATCCATCCATGACACACAGATGACGAGATACAAAGTCCTACAATGGTGATGGCATCATGCCAAGATATACTGCAATGCACAAGCAAAGGCTGAAAAGAAGAAGACTGCAAGCTAGTAACTTAGCAGCTGCTCCTCCAATAAATTGTTGTATAACTAAAACTCCAATCTGCTTTAAGTTGTTTCACTTTGGGCCAGTGAGAGTATTTCTGAAGATGCTGAAGTATAAAGTTTTGATGGTCGATGTCAAAAATAATTCCCAAGTTGTTGAGTCTTTGTGCAAAAGACAAAGAGGATTCCTCTCTATTGTTGTTTCTTTTTCCACAGAGGCATCTTAACCCACTTCGGCTGGGAAACAAAGCATGTGCTACAGTGAAAAACACCAGACAGTCCTAAGAGCAATGATTCCACCCTCCCCCAAAAAAACAACAACTTGTCAGTCTTGGAGCTCCCGTCTGGCCTCACCTCATATATGTTCATCTCTTCCATCTCGGCCAGAGTCGGAGCTTTGAGCAGGATGCGGGGGCGAGACGGAGGCCGGGGCTCCGACACGGACAGGTCGATGCATGACGTGGATTTGACGTCGCAAGGGCAAGTCTGAGCCAGGCAGGGCAGAGAGCCAAATGCTGAGGGAGGAGACACCGGAAGCACCGTCAGGGGACAAGCAAGTCAGAAACTGAGATCAGAGGGCAGAGATTCTCAGATGAGCCCCGTGTAGCATTTTAGCATCGATAACTCACAACGACACAGTAGAATTACTGTAAAGCTACACCACCATGTTAGTGTAAACGTTAAAAAGTTATTTTTTTTATAAAACTGTGAATGTTACTGTGAACTTTGTATTTGCATACAAAAGCAAAATTCAAATGATTAGGAAATAAAAGATAAAAAATAATAAATAAATAAAAAAACATGGCGGCCGGGTCACAAACGGTCTCATTTTACAGCTGAACAGTAACTAAAACATGTCTCTGAAAACATTTGAGGTGAGAAATAGGCAATGCAGTAACAGAATGTTGATTCATATTTGATCAGCGCTGCCTAGTTTGACAGTTTGATCCGAGTTCATGATCTCCGCGCTAGTGACTCTTCCTCTGATTTCTTGTTGTCGTTTGGGCTTGGCAGGATCTCGCAAATGCTATTAAGAGCACTAAAAGTTGAACAGTTTCATAAAAATTCTTATCATATTTGCTCACAGTTACCAAACAGCTCTAATGTCTTCGTGAGGCTCTGAGGGATATTTGGAGTAACATTTGCTGTATTGTTTAATAGCACGAAGCAGAAAGAGGGTGCCCTTTTTCCAGTGAATTTGGGGATTTACAATGGGTCAAGTGATGGGGAAAGACATTGCTCGGCAGCTCTCCCAGCCCGATCTTTGCTCTGGATTTACAGCCGACAACTTCACTATTTCGATTCAGTCTCACGTGCCTACCGACTAGTTAGCTGACAAACACAGTGGAGCATTTAGTGGCTAAAGAGATGGATATTTCCCATCGATGGAGCAATACGTGGCTAAAAGGAGAGCGAATATTGATGATTGAAATCTTCAAAGTCAAATGAATGCATCTTTAATCTTTCTGGTGAATGACAGATGGGTAAGTAAGTAACTTTTATGGGAAATGTGGTTTCAGTTTTGAGAAACACTTGGACTGATTCGACCATGGTTATTTGCATTTGGTTATTTGCAACTGTCACCATTGACAATAATAATGACAATACAAGTTGATCTGCATAGTACTTATCAGCAGTCATTCTTGGTTGCTGTTTTTTCACCACCATCAATTAAAAAACAGTTGTTAAGTATTCACTAAAATGAAGGGTTAATTATAATATTATCATATTGCCAATAATTAATTTACAGAGATTCCATGTTTGAACCCATAACGGCTCTAAACAAAGCAGAGTGTGTTCTTTGGATTGCGTGTTGAGTGAAGACTCCTTTATCAGCACTCTGAATTACACTGACCTTGATCTGGAAATAGCTGGTCAATATTTATGCAATGCCACCTCCATATGTACTGGAGCTCGAAAATGGAAAAATACTCTTGTTACACACTACAGCTCACAGACTTGTATGCAGTAGCTAACTACAGTGTGACCCTCACAGGCTACAGTACACAATGTACAGACTAGAGTTTCAGCCCCGAATTCATTACTTAGCAACTAGCATAACATTTATTTTCTGGATAGCACAACGAGTCACACTGAAAGTCATGTTAATGACTTCATATAGGCAAAAACACAGTGTGACATCCAGAGCAGCCACAGGACAGGATCTTTTATTGCTCTTTATATCAGTGTGATGCTTCTCTCCAGATACCATGCAACGGTTTCAGATGCTGACAAATACATAAAGCGAATAAGAGACCATTTTTACTTTAGGTACTTTTGTGTCTGTCTGGTAGAAACATAACAAGGTCTGCTCTAAGAGCTGCAAAGCACCGCAGGCGCCTTCAGCTAAACGCTTCAAACTGCACTCTGCCATCTCACTTTTACAATGTTAAGTATGTAAAAGTCGTAAAATATGGTTGAATTTAGTCTCTTAATTAATCATTGGTGTTTTTTGAGCATAAGATGAATCAAACCAATCAGTGTCATCTCCTTTAAAAACTTTAAAAACCCTTTAAAAACTAGGTAAATGGTGTTTTTGTCTGCAGTGAGAATATTGTTTTTGAGAGGCTACAAAATGCCAACAAATAAGAATTGAAGCAGAACATTTTTGTTAGATAAAACATTTTGTTTATTTTGGAAATGATTACATCTACCTTTTTTTTTTTTTATAAATCTAATGCACTGGAGTTTAAGGAGTTTCAGAGTCACGGATCGGATCGGATCAGCACAAAAGAAAAAAAAGGGAGCAAATATAACTTTTAGATACTGATCATGTTGCCGATCAATGATCATCCCTGATGATACAGATCTCTTTGTTGTTTGATTATAGCAGCTGGTCTCCAAGGCTTCAGACTATTTGTTTTTGCCACCGTCCCAAAAATTATCTCAACCGCTCTGAAAATCATAAAAAATCCCATGTGTTTTCTTCATAAAAACACAATTCAAAGTAGTTTTAATGATGTATCATAAGCTGCTTAGAGTTAGTGTAAAAAGCTCATAATTCATCTCTAATATCTATTTATGTTGTTGTAAAAACATCTTTTTCAAAAAACTGGATTCATTCAAGTTTCTCACCAACACTACATTTTACGAGATTACATGTGAACACACCATGATAACGTTATAATTTACCGTTGCCCAATACAAATTTTCACTGAACAGAGCCTGAACGCATCATAATGTAACTGAATGGAACCTTCGTTCATTAGCTGTTAGCTGTGCTGCTAACGTTTTAGCTCTTCTCCTGTCAATTTAAACACAGACTGGTTGTTTACAATGTAACATTATCAGAGATCAATGACTAGAGAAGCACAAATGATGCCTTGATCACATATTTACTGAATATTGGCAGATAACGATCATCAGTAAAATGTATTTTACACTGTGATGGTTAACGTTAAACTGCGTAATTAATCTGCGGTTCACATGCATGCCAAACTGTGAGGGGGAATCCATACGGATCACGGATCAACAACGGTCCGTTACACCACTAAATCCAACTGATAATCTTAGTGTAGCCTGATCTTTATCTACATCGGTGCAGAAATACCGGCTTCAAACACAATGAATAGACGTGCAAAACAAAGTAGCATTCGACTGTTGATTTAGAATTCGTCAACATTGTGAATGAAGCTTCAAAGAGTCCAAATATTCAGTGCAGCCCAAGAATTGTGTTAGATTGATAAATTTCATATTCTGTTGACGGAATAAGAGGGCACTCTATCTAATCTATGTCGCTGTCCATTGACGGTCAGTGCTGAATTGATGTTGTCGTAGCATATTGTGAGGAGAGAGAAGGGGCAGGAATGTGGTCCTTGGTCGATGGACTGTCTGCCTCCACCGTCTCCCATTCCTCTGTCCCATCAACAACTCCATTTGACTGTGAATGAGCAAATGCACAGTAAACCTGTTTAACAGAGAGGGGGGGGCACCGTGTGTGTAACAAGCAGCGCAACGTTGTGAACCCGTCTATGCAGGAACATCTTACTTTCTGAATAATATCCCCTTTAAATAGCAGGAAAATACTGACTTCAGACCAGGTTTTTGTTGGTCAATGGCAGAACGGCTTTCTGATACCTCAAGATAGCAAAGCGCCCAACAATGTGCCGGACCAGCCTTAATTTTTTCATGGTGGGGTAAAATAAATGGCGGTGGACGATCGTCCCCTTACGTCTGGAACTGGGCAGGACCACTGGCCTGAGCTTCCTCTCCTGCTTAATCTCAGCCAGGACCTTTTCATGAAGGGACTGCTGCTGCGGGGGAGGAGGGGGGAGGCTGCGCTCTGAAACCTAACGGAGAGGAGAAACAATTAGAACATAGCTATACTCCTGAGGAATCTTAAAGAGGTGAATCCATACATACAGTATAGCTATGAATGGATGTGCGAAGGTGCCGTGTTTTACCACGAATTAAAGATATGATGTAACCACCCACAGTGTTTTTGACTGGGTGTAAAAGGTTTTGAAACATTGTTTAGATCGTCATTAGACAATAAAACGGCGATAAAACAAATAATAACATGTAGTACTAGTAAAATTGATTGTAAAAACCCCAGTAATACATTTTAAGGGTGATTCACTTCAATGTAATGAAGCAAACAGTACCATGGCTAAGCTATCAGTGATAAACACTGTTGACATAAAAGCTTGTATCAATAACAGCTTTTAATCATTGATATATAAATTATAGTAATATGTAAAAGCGATTGTTAAGGACTCATAGTTGCATTAGTATTTGGATGCCTTTCTAGCAAGCTGTTAACTTAAACTAGAATTACCGCGTCACAGTTGTAAGCCTCTGCCGGCAAGTCATGTTGCAGTTTCGTCACTTCATCATTTTATCCTTTTAGACATTTGTGTGAAATTGTCATAATTAGCATATGAATTCTTGAGTTATGGGCAAAAAAAGATGTTTTGTGAAGTCACAGTGACCTTTGACCACCAACGTTGAATCAGTTCTTCCTCAACTCCAGGTGGACATTTGTGCCACAGTTGAAAGAGAGATTATAATGAGAAATTACGTTCACGAAAATAGAGCGGACGGACAACCTAAAAAACATAATGCCTCCAGACACAGCTGTTGCCAGCGCGGAAGAATAAAAAGTTCAGAGTTCAGAGAAGGACATACAACTGTCACAAAAACCTCATTAAGCTACATTTACAGACAAATCTACTGCATTATCTACTGCTCCTGTATGATACACACTTAGGGTTTTCACCGTATACTTTCAATGATGAGAAAATTGCACACATGTACCCTCCTTCACATCTCTGGGGAACTTAAAATGGCAAAAACCCACTCACTGGTTTAAGAGGAGGTCTTGATCTGATGAAATCCAGTATCAACTCATGGGCATTTCTCTTCACTCTGGTGGGAATGTCACCATCCACCTAAATAATACAATGAAACACCAACTGTAGGACTGTGTCTGTAAATCATTACAGTGATCATGCAGCAATGCAAAAACCCTCCGAAGACAACATTGGAATATCATCACCTGATGGCAAAGATGTTTACCTATTAACACGTGCAGAAATTCACTCTTCTTTTAGCTCTGTTTTGATCTCCACCAACTTTTGAAAAAAACTAAATTGGCAGCTGCTAAATGGTGCACAGTGTTCAGCAGCTTGCTGCTAACGTTTTCTGCCATTTGGTGCTGAGCGGGCAGTGTACAGCGGGGTTTATTAGAGCTTTCTCGCTAAAAACAGCTGCTGCTGGAGACGGGGTTGAAAACACATGCGAGACTGAACCAGTTGAAAACATGAAACCAAAACAAAAGAGCTTAAAGAAGCTGAAGTGCTCCGTACAGCTGAGGGGAACTGTGGAGTTGGCTGATATTTCTCTGTGCAACTGCTTGCGAGGACAGAAGGCTGTGAGAAGCCTTCATTAATATTTGTGTTCCGAGGCTGAATTATGTATCTGCCTGTGGAGAAGGCCTCAAGGTGACTGCCTCATATATGCCTGCTACATAACAGTTCCTTCCTGTAACAAAGCTTATACAGTATATGGTGCGGTGAACTTCCTGAAAAAGAGGATAATGGCTTCAAGGACTTGAAATGACAAACAGGCGTCTCAGTCTGAGTCTCACTCCTGTCTGCCCTCAATGTCCTCATGCTCCATTTAATCAAAGTCAAGTGATGATAGAAATGTTGCTCTCTGGGTTATGATTTCAGCGAGGAAAGAAGGATCTTGTATTTCCTCCAGAAGATCTGCGATGCTTTGATTTAGCTGCCTTCAGCTTAACACCTCTACTGACATTTCGACTGCTTTCAGTATTTTACAAGTCGATGGACTATTTACAGTGCAGACACTCAACTGACATTTCAACTGCTTTCATGGCATATACATGATTACGGCTTTTATATAGTCATATTCATATCATAACTAATGCTTGGCTTGATTAATTTAAACCGCGTCTCGTCACTCACCAGGACTTTGCGTAGCTGGAACTTGCGAGTCCGTATGTCCTGCATCAGCATCTCAAAGGGTGTGAGGCTGAACTCGGTGGGCAGCAGGTTGAACGGCTGCTCCTGCACCTTCTTCAGCTTCACTCCCTGCCTGAGATCCTTCATCAGCTGCACCCACAGACGTGCCTGGGATGGAAATAACAACAACACACACACACACTCCATATCTGCATGCGTCAACACGACAACACCGCCTTCTTGGGTCAAAAACACTGTTCCATTGCCCTCCCTGTGACACTGTGCTCTCGCTCTTCTCACCCAGTCTGTGTGTTTCAGGGCGTCCAGCTCAGCTGTAGACCTGTCTTCCACAGCTTCCTCTGTTGTGATCTTCTTCAGCATCTGTACAACAAAAAGCAACAGACACATATGTTTTTTTTTTAATGAAAAGCTACAGTGTCAACATTATCATTTCAAACACTTTTGGTTTTTCTGCCACAAAATGCCACATCTAAAAGGGTTGTACTCAACAACTTTAAATAGACTGCAGTATAGTCATGTTGATTTTAATGGGATAAGTGTGTGTGCATCTCTTGTCTATGTGTTGCTTTTAGCCTGTGTCCCTGAATCAGATAGGTGATCAGTTTCCTTTCCGATGATGGTACCACTAGGGGGGCAGCAAAGTCAGAAAACATCTAATTCTACACATGGTGGCTTTAACCTCACTCCCTCAACAGAAGACTTTATTTGGAAGTAAAAACAAAAATCAAAAGTGAGACGTGAAGTGTCAATTGTAATCTACATGGGAAACCATGTGCACATATATGGCTCCCACATATATTAGGGGTGGGAATCACCAGAGATCCCGCGATACGATATTATCGCGATACTTGGGTCACGATACGATATTATCACGATACTGCGATATTATCACGATACTGAGATTTATTACTTTTTTCAACTTCAAATTATGTCCCCAAAGGAAAACTGTGTCAACATGTTTTATCTAATAAGATAAAGTTTTCAGTCTGTTCATGTCACTTCAATCATTTTTATTGCAGCAAAATAGGATTGTCAAGCAGACAGACTGACCAACAATGTCATAAATATTGCATGAACCTGACAAACTGAACTGTTTGTATTACTACATAGTCCAACTTAACTAAATGCAAACGTGTGGACTCAGTATATGAACTATAACTTATATAAGTAGGATATAAGAGTTATATAACTCAGTATAACTTGCGATGCGTGGACCTCAAGGGCAGAAAGACAGTTATGCGCTGCACTGTCCCCATGAGCCTGGCTACTGTTGGCAGATTTAACCCCGTTGTGAGGCCAGATGTCTCTATCTTTGTTTTGACCAACTTCCTACCAATCACGCTGACCCGGGACCTTTGCTGACCACCAATAACTCAGCACCATCTAGTGGACTGAAAAAGTAATTGATTTGATTTTTCTAAAAAAAAAAAAAAAGAATTTTTTTTTAATTTTTTTAAATAGTTTATATAATAAAAGATCGATACTTGGCGTCCATGTATCGATACAATATCGCCACGCAAAATATCGCGATACTATGCTGTATCGATTTTTCCCCCACCCCTAACATATACAGTATCGTACCATATATGGACATGACCGATCATTTTAAGTTATTGACTTACTGTACATGGAGATGACCTTGATCTTGCCTGTAGTGTTTACATGCCTGTTTGTACTAACATTTTAAACAACATGATGCAATGAAGATTCTGTCATTGTGCAGACATTGCGCATTTCTGTGAGTCCATTGTATCTATTGTATTGGTTGTGTGGCTTTTAACATTTTAACATTTTCACATTCAAATTCCAATGTCAGAATATTCTTAAGAATTAAAAGTTCATTGCTCTGTGAAAGGGTGCACTTACATTATTATGCTGTCATATTTATATCAGTGGCATAAAATGGTTATATGGTTAATATTGTTTATTGTAATTATTTTTGGGACAATATATTAACCGTATTAACCATATATTAAGGGAAGGCCTCCCGGGGAAGGCTTATGCCAGGGTGCTGGAAAGGAGGCTCCGACCGCTTGTCGAACCTCGGATTCAAGAGGAGCAGTGCGGATTCCGTCCCGGCCGTGGAACAGTGGACCAGCTCTTTACCCTCGCAAGACTACTGGAGGGGTTCTGGGAGTTTGCCCAACCAGTCTACATGTGCTTTGTGGACTAGGAGAAGGCTTTCGACTGGGTCCCTCGGGGGTTCTTGTGGGGGGTGCTGCGGGAGTATGGGGTGCCGGACCCATTACAACGGGCGATCCGGTCTCTGTACGACTGCAGTAGGAGCTGTGACCGCATTCTCGGTAATAAGTCAGACACGTTCCCGGTGGGTGTTGGCCTACGCCAGGGCTGCCCTTTGTCACCGGTCCTGTTCGTGACTTTCATGGACAGGATATCTAGGCGCAGCCTCGGGGCGGAGAACGTCAGGTTCGGGGGTCTCGGGATCGCCTCTCTGCTGTTTGCAGATGATGTGGTCCTGTTACCCTCCTCGGATCATGACCTCCAGCATTCACTGGGGCGGTTTGCAGCCGAGTGTGAAGCGGCGGGGATGAGAGTTAGCACCTCCAAATCTGAGGCCATGGTTCTCTGCCGGAAACCGGTGGATTGCTCCCTCCAGGTGGGGACGGAGTGCCTACCTCAAGCGAAGGAGTTCAAGTATCTCGGGGTCTTGTTCACGAGTTAGGGTAAGATGGAGCGGGAGATCGACAGACGGATCGGTGCGGCTGCAGCAGTAAAGCAGGCGCTGCACCGGACGGTCTTGGTGAAGAGGGAGCTGAGCCGGAAGGCAAAGCTCTCAATTTACCACTCGGTCTACGTTCCTACCCTCACCTATGGTCACGAACTCTGGGTCGTGACCGAAAGGACAAGGTCGCGGCTACAAGCGGCCGAAATGAGCTTCCTCCGTAGGGTGGCCGGGCTCAGCCTTAGAGATAGGGTAAGGAGCTCGGTCATCAGGAGGGAGCTTGGAGCCGAGCCGCTACTCCTTCGCGTTGAAAGGAGTCAGCTGAGGTGGTTCGGGCATCTAATTAGGATGCCTCCCACTGGAGGTTTTCCAGGCACGTCCAACTGGGAAGAGACCCCGGGGAAGACCCAGAACACGCTGGAGGGATTACATCTCCCAGCTGGCCTGGGAACGCCTCGGGATCCCCCAGAATGAGCTGGAACATGTTGCCGGTGAGAGGGAAGTCTGGGTCAGCCTGCTTGACCTGCTGCCACCGCGACCCGACCCCGGATATGCGGAGGAAAATGGATGGATGGACAATATATTAACCAAGCAAAGTATCTGTCCTGACGTGCGTAAACAGGAGTCTAGATCTAAAGTTGAGCACTAGAAGGAAACAGTGGGGGTGGCATCTTCAGTCAGTCAGTCTCTGCTCTGAGGCATGTGAACAGGAAGCACTTCAGATTCAAAGGGCGCACACACAGCGAGGTGCAGGCCACTGCGGCAGAAGTGATGAAAGTTCACAGCTGAGAAGTAGGTCATGAGTCTATTTTCCGGTATTTATTCCAGCTACATTGCTTTAAAAGTAAATTTGACATGGCAACCTGACGTACCTCCTTAGCATCTCGGATCTTGATGAGGAAGGTCTGCAGCTCCAGAGTCTCTACAAACAGAGCCCTGCAGACAGCCTGGTAGTGCTCCGGAGCAAAGCTGGGGTCAGCCAGCCGAGACGCACACAGCGCCGCCACCTGGCGGAACGTGCACACCGGCCTCATCGCTCCCTCCTGCTCTTCCTCTTCCTCCTCCTCCTCCTCCTCCTCCTCCTGGCCACTGTACCCTTCATCTGTGGTGAACCTCCCGACAGTGCAGACACTCTCTCGGCCCTGGTCCCCTCCGGCCATGCGTTCGATGAGGCGCTCCAGCTGGGGGCTGAGCTCCCGCTCCTCGCTGTCATCCAGCCCCCAGTCCAGAGCGCAGTAGATTGCCACGCCCAGCGACTGGACCAGCTGGAGGGACGGACAGGGAGATACAACAAGGGCATAAATAGGTTGCCCTTTACCAATAACAAACAACAACAAAAAAATCTTAATCCTGCCAAACACCCAGATAGAGGCAAACTAATTCACTCAAACAAAACAGACTTTGTGTTTTTGCAGTACTGGCAGTCGTAAATTTGCTCTCTAACCATTCATCTCTCACTTTTAACAGTAAGCATCCCATAACTACAACAAAAGCATGAACATGATATTTACAATCTGCCAAGATGAGAAAGATGACAACAGAGATGTGTTTAGAAAGGCCAAGTATAAGATATTATTCCAAAATTCTGTTCCACATTTGAAAATGCAGGATAACCGAAATTCACACGATGTAAAATGTAGTTCATGTCAGCTGGGAAATCCCTTTTGTTTGCAAATAAGAGTCCTCTTTCTTTCTCACCTGACGCTCTGCAGCAGGTGGAGGAGGAGGTCCATCAGTGTCATCTGAGGAGACAGAGGAGGAGACACGCCACATTTTACACTAAAGACTGGGTGATTCTTTTTTTACTTTTTATTCCATTCAAATGTTCATCATGACAGTTTTATTTATCTATTTATATATCAACCCAATTCTCTTTCTCACTGCATATTTTCACATTATAGGAGTCAACTTCTGTCTTCACTTCTGTTAAACTGGGAACTTAATGTACCAAATCTTTCTGCAGCGACTCATTTTAATAATTAGCGCTTAATAACCAATTATTTCTTTACAAACTGTTGGTGTTCGGGCTGATTAAATATGGGGCGAGCCAAAAATGTCTGTTGAATGTTGATAACTTTTCAGTTTTTTTTCCCAATAATTGTATTTGTCCATTTCTGTGTAGAGATTAGGTTCCCATCTTTTTTCCTCAGATCTTGTCCTATAAATGCAGAGGAACTTGGATTTATATCGTGCCTTTCTCTGCCTGCTGGCCACTCAAAGTGCTTTACACTATGTCAACATTCACACACACACACCCAGCCACTGGAATCTAAACTAATGCACATTCATGCACAGGCAATTTGGGGTTTAGTATCTTGCCCAAGGACAATTCGACATGCGGACTGGAGGAGCAAACAGGCAAACCTCCGATTACAGGACCTGCTCTACCTCCGAGTCCTCACTAGTGAGGGGATATTGTTCCACTCTGCGTACAAGGTTTGGACAGTTTCTGTGAAAGTCCAAATGCATTTTGTCTTCTTCTGGGGTTAGTGTCCTATTTTTCTTCTATAATTAGCGAGCCCGACATTCTGCTGGCAAATATAAAAGGAATGGTTCTATTACGCATTTTAAACTTTTATCTATAATTTAATTGGAAGGTTTGATTAGAGTAGTCTGCTTCTTTAGGTGTAAAACGCTTTTGACGTTTTTTCTGCAAAAGCAGTTACAGCCTTGTTAAAAATTTTGCACAGATTTGTTCGTTTTTAATCGGTTTCACGTTTTTGTTTTGTCTCAGATTTTTAAAGAAATGAGCATTCCGTTGTGCAACCCGGTGTTGCATAACATGAATATGAGTGTCACTGGGGTCTTCCCAAAATGCTCACAGAGAAGAGACAAAACGTGCATTACTTATGCTTTCTGCTTTCCTGATTTTCTTTTCCAAAATAAAGCTTTGCACCAACAGCTGGCACTCTCTGCAGCAATGCTCAGAAAGGAGATTTATACATCATGTTAAATTGTATTTGTCACTTCCTGGGGGCTGGAGACAGGAGCAGCTTTCAACCAAAGAACAGGAATGCTTCCATATTGAACTGGGTGATTAAATCAGCAAGTTGTTTGAAGAAAACCTGATATTTATGCCACTAACAGTCGTGCTTTACAGCACTAGTATAAAAAAAAACTTCAGTCAGCTGGTTTTCAATCTTCTACTCAATAAATCAAATGCGGTACTCCATATGTCCCACAGTCATGTGCGTGAGAGAGAGAGTAAAAACTCTGATGTCATGTCAGTAATGACACCCGAGAGGCCTGAAACTCCTCGATCAGCAGCTCTCGCTGCAGAGAAACAGCAGAATGGACGAACAGGAGAAGCAGGAGACGGAGACAAAGATGGACGGAGGGAGCCGGTGGAGAGAGAGAGATGAAAGGAGAGAGAGATGAGAGATCAGCGTAGGTCACGTGGTGATGGAGGGGAGGGGGTCTGCCCACCGTAGCATCCTCGCCTGTCAACAGCCGGACTCGAACCTCGGACCAACAGAGCGTCACTCTGGTCCCCCGTGTGAACACCGACGCTGCTTCGATCTGCAACAAAAGGGCAGCAACTGACACTGAAGGAGGGGCGAGGAGACTCTCTGTTAAGAGAGACAACATGAACCCCTGCAAACCTGCCAGACAGGTTCAAATAATGCTCGGCCCGGTCACGAGGTGCAACCCGATGATACCTCCGCCTCTTTCCCACAGTCACAGGTCAGTGAACACAACAGAGAGGGGAGAAATCTGCAATCGCAAAAACCCTTCCAAGAGATTAGATGTTGGAAAAAACACAATAACCCAGTTAGATATATGCACAGGGAAAGGATGTTTGGCACTTTGAGCTGCGGTGCTTTTCTAACCCAGAATCAGAATCAGCTTTATTGGCCATGTATGCGTACACATACAAGGAATTTCACTCAGTTTTTTCTGTTGCTCTCAACGTACAAACACAGAAATAGACAAATAAACAGAAAACAAGGACAAGTAGAACAGAGGTAAGCATAAACATTTAACTACTATGTACATACATACATACATACATACATACATATATATATATATACACATATATATACACGTATACACACACATATATATAGCAGTGGTGGGCCGTCAGGGCCAGCAAGGCCTTCTCTGCTGGCCTAAACAGAATCACAAAGTTATAACTATTTTATAATTTAATAATTGTTCTTAAATACACTACATGTATTATAATTCATACAAATATTTTTCCCATTATCTTATTTTCTCATTGCACAGCTACTGTCTTCCTCAGTTGCTCTGCTTCCAGTGCAGCTTGTTTTAAGTAGAGCTTTTATCCAATCAGATTTCACCTCTGTGTCTCTAGGTAAGAACAGAGGCCCGAGGCCTGCAGACTCACAAGGAGCAGAATTAGCTGTCCCCTAGTTAGCTAGGGGACAGCTTCTTTAATGTTGCGTCTTGATAACCACGAACCCCTTCCCGCCAAACCCCACAGTGTTCCTCCTCATTAGCTTTTAGTCACACTTCATTTATTCTAGGTAAAAATGGAAAAATATTTCTTCAAATCCCTCACCTTTCACACTAACAGGCATACTCTCTTAAGATGGACTTTGTCATCTGTTGCCATGGTACTAAAGGTCTGAGAGACTGAGTTCAAAAGGAACCACAAAGTGACGAAGACAAACTGGGCTGGGAGGAGCAGAGCCAGTTCTAAATGGATAGGAGAGACAGAACATTTTTATTTTGCAGCAGTCACCAGAAATGACCTGTATACATGTCGGGTGTAGTAGGGTGTGTCACTTTGGCCTTTACCTGCACGTCAAGTCAGTGCTGACCTTTGCACTTATTTTCAATCAAGGGGGAAAACATCCATAAAATAACTTAAATCAACTTTTATATTTGGAGTTAATTTCTATGTTACGTGTTCGGTGAAGTGACTGCCGTGAGAGAAATTTGGCATGATCTCTTGAGGAGGAGAGTGATGCCGTAATGGGAAAAGCTTGCAAATCGAATTTCCTTGAGTCTCGTGTTTCAACGATGCACGGTCAGCGAGCTAAAAACTGCTTTTTGTCTTTCATCCGTAAAAACAAAAACAAAAAGAGCAGTTGACATTTGGGTGATGCGAGCTTTTTTTTTTATCAGACATGTATCCGGACTTTGACTTCCCGCTGGCCTTAAGTGCACTCAGCGAATCACCTCACCCTTTAGCATTTGTCCAGCAATGTCTTTCAGCAGCCTTCAAACAGACCCGTTTCACATAAACTGCTGCTTATCTGACGTTCTACCACGGCTTATCCCTTTACCACGTCTGTTTATTGTTCCCGGATTAGGATGCAGTCCAGTTGACGCAGGAGGAAGATATCAAAAAAATAAATAGATGACAAATCAAGAGCTTCTCAGCGCCTCGTACTGTACCAACACGGTCAAACTGAGCACTTACATATTTATATTCAGAATACATGTTGCAGTTGCAGTGAGCTCAGTCAGTCTTTACGAGGGACAATACGATATCCATTAGGACCACTTAGTCATAAATGTATTAATGGGGATGAAGGTACTGTGCCATTAAACTGATCCAGGCTCATTTGAGGACAGTCCTGCACTTGTGATGGGAGGGGACAAACGTCCTCAGTATTACAAGAGAGTATTGGGTTTCCATTGTCACGAATTCCCCTTCATATTAGTTTGTTTTCATCCTGTCTGTTTATTTTACTAACTCTCCTATCATTTCAGATCCTACCATTCACACCCGATCATCTCTCATTCCCCTCACCTGCAGCCCATTCCCTCATTAGCCCTCACTATTTAGGTCCCCTCACTTGCACTT